AAAATAGTTAGCTAAAAGGATGGAAATAATTCACAGCTAATGAGCCTTGCAACATCTTCCTTAGGGTCCTGGTTGGGTCAGAGTGAGTCACTAATGGCCACTCCTAAATTCATACTTTTACTAAAGAAAAATGACAAAAATCTGCCCTGGGATTGCTTCTATTGATAATCAAAAAGGTGAATAATCAGGACTTTCAACCACCTGCTTCAGATATTTAAAAAGTGGAACTTAAATTACCCTTTCTGCTGTGGTTGTGTGACAGAGGAAGTGAGGAGAAAAGGTTATTTTCATCTCAAGGTTGATGGTGTCCACATTTTAGTGAAGTTAACCATAACAAAAAATAAAATTTTCTGCAGAATTTTCTGGGAAAAATTCTTGGCTGCTTTGCTGTTTCAGTTCACTTTTTAAACACCATGCTGTGTTGCAGGGCGGGGATAATGTATCTTATATCTATCTCTCTTGCAGAGGTTTCTATGTTATTTACATATCTACCTTCATTACAGCCATCCACAAAACCCAGCAGGAACTCTGCGATTCCATTTTTGCCCACTTTCTTTCCACCAATCACAACTTCCTTCCCTTAGTGAGAGAGTTTATCTCAAGTGGCTAATGAACTTGGCAACGGTATGTAGAAATGGCACTGTCATTCACTGATAAGAATTTACATCAGGGGGCAATTAAAGGGAAACTATTCATATCATTTGACCCAGCATTTCTACCCCTAGGACACATCCTATGAAAATATTCTCACAAATTCATCGCAAAAGGATGCATACTCAAATGCTCACTGCAGCATTGCCCGAAAGCCCTTAAAATGAGTAAATTAGAGCAACATGCAAATACATGGGACAAATGCCCAAAATATACTAAGGTAAAGAAAGCAAGCAAAACAATATGTGTTACAATAATATCATTAGTATATGTGTGATATACTAATACACAGCAAAATCTCAACAGTGGATTCTCTTTATGGAGTAGAATTAAGGGGAAATTTTCCAATGTAGTTCATTGTGTGTTTCTGTAATAAATTTTTATTAATCTTATTTATGTCTAGAATCAAGAAACAAATTAAAGGTATATATTTATGTGCCCCTTCTCATCCTTTCCTCTTCACTTCAGCTAGTTTGCAGGTCCACCTGCATTACTACCTCTAGTCTTATCAAAAATAGATTACCAGCTGGAGAAGTTTACACTCTTATAGACAGTATCGTGTATAGAAAGGGCACAAAGATCACTTACAAGATCCCCAACAAATGGTATTCCAGCTCACAGGCTGGTTAAATACTTACAGTGATCAAGAAAATCACTACCTTCTGAAGCAACCCTTGACATCTTCTAGCTTTGAAGCAACCCTTGACACTTCTAAAGATGACATTCAGGAACAGCAACTGATTTAAACACCAATACTCACAACATGTCAGGCTCAGCAGACAGAATCAGTCAAGAAAACTAACATTGTTACTGATTGTCTAGCATGCAGCTCCCATTAAAATTTCCTGGATTGTTCCCAAAATGTCCTTTATAGCTTTTTTTTTTTAAAGTCCAGGATCTAATCAAGTGTTACATGTTGCATTTGGTTGTCACAGCTCTTTAGTCTCTGTTAATCTAGATCAGTCACCCATACATTTTGTTTTATTTTGTTTTGTTTGTCTTTCATGGCATTGACATTTTGAAAGATCACAGGCCAGCTGTTTTGCGGTATGTCCCACAATCTGGATTTGCCTGATTATTTCTTCATGATTAGATTTAGGTTTAACATTTCTGGCAAGAATTCTACATCAATGATGTTGTGCACCTTCCATTGCACCAGGTTATATAGTTACACCAAGTTATCTTTTTATTCATTTTGTCACTAAGCAAGCATCAGCCAGTAAATAAAATATTTAAAACAATAAATAAAAACAGCTACCATGAACACCAGATATACCAGGTATAGTGCCAGACATTAAACACATATTATCTCATTTAAACCTCACAACAGTCTGGCAAAGAAACAGGTTCAAAGAGGTAAACTAACTTGCCCAAGGACACACATGCAGTGATAGAAAATATGTGCTTGCACATGTGAGCACACATACATGCACTTTAACGTATGATCACAGGAGTTTATGGTCTCCGTGAGGATCCTCCATGGACAAGTTAAAAAACCCTACCTTAGACTAATCTTGAGGAGGCCTTTCTAGTTTTCAACAGTTGGATTCCTATGGGGAAGAAACAAAGAAACTGAAAATAAATGAACTGTGATCCATAAGAAATTCGTTCATTTTTGGAAATGTTCTCATTTGGTGATGGGACACATTTTCACCAGAGCCAAGAAAATAGGGTAATGGCTTCATAAATTATTATAACATCCTGGTGTTTTCACTGTTTGTCTTCGTTTTTAACTATTCTACAACAAAGTGAGAGAAATAAAGACAATGTAGAGAACGTTTTGTAAAGCTAAATATATTTTAATTTTAAAATTAAGCTCTTCCTACAACTTTTGATATTTAATGTTCTTTATTTTATGAGATAAAAGTAAAGGGAGACATTTAAAAATATCTTTACTATAGAAAAATAACTATTGTCAACAGCTCAAACCTATATATCTATATCTATAAAATTCAAAACTTTGAGATCCATTGATTTAGGAAACTCTATACAATGAAAATTATTTTTGAGAAACTAATTTGAATAAAGGAAGTACAAATCAAAAAGAAACCAGATCTGAAATATTTCTGAATTTCCCTAAACAACGTCCACAAAACCAAAGGCTTCAGGTCTTGTTAAAAGCATTTTACATTTGACATTTGCATTACTAAATGCTTTCTTCCAATGTGTTGGTATTTCATGCTTTTGAATGGGCCCTTAGTGACTTAGGTTAGTTCACTCAATCAACAAATATTCAGAGTCCCTAATTTATGCTAGGTACTCTGTTTGGTGCCTGGTAACAGTGTGGAGAGTTCTTTCTTGCCTTCCTGTCTCGTCTAAAGTCACCAGCCACTTTGTGGATACTACTCCTTCTCCAAGGAAAGAAAAATGAAAGCCTCCCTTGGGACTGTGCTCTCCTAGCAAGGCCTACATACCTCTATCTGTGATTATTTGTTTATGTGTTTCTCCCTCACCTAAGCAAATTCTTCCAAAGCAGACACTATCTTATTCAATGCTATCTTCCCAGCACAGTGCACATATAGCTGGTGATCAGTATAAACTCATGAAATAAATATATTTTACAGATGAGGAAACTAAAGGTCAGAAAAATAATATATGTCAAACAACATACAGCTAATAAATAAAGCTCCACCAGAGCTCTCTTCTATTCCACCATGCCATATCGTACATGCAGACAGGGTAAGAGAAAGATCTTAAATGTCTTCCTGGAACCTCAAACTCAGCATGTACAAAAGTCCTTCCTTCTCAAAAAATCAAACAAAAATCTGGTCCCCATCCAGTGTTCTCTTTTTCTGTCAATGGTATCTCCAGCGGCTCAAGGAAAAACTCAAGTTATCTTGACTCTCTTCTCCCTCTCCTGATAGCCAATCAATCAACAATCTTATCAATTATAATCTTCAAACTTAGTATCTCTCTAATCTCTTCCCTTCTCTCCAAGCCCTCTGCCACCATCATCAAGCACATAGACAACAAAATGACTTATTATTTGGTCTTCACAAATTCACTTTGGCCAATTTTCTCCAATCTCTTCTCCACTTAACAGCCATGGTGACGTTTTTACTATCTTTCTACATATGTAATTGATCTAGCTAATTAAAGCTCTCTATTAGGTTTCTATTGCTCTTAAGATAAAGGCCAAAATTCATCTGTGGCTCAAAAAACTGCCCACTGTGTAGCCTCTGCCCACCTCTCCAGCCTCGTTCTTATTCATTTTGGTTTCTTCCCCAACATACTGACTGATTTCCTTTCAAATCCTCATATTTACTGTTTCTTCCTTTTGTACTTTGAACATGCGGTTCTGTCAGAAATCCTCTTTGCCCCTTCTAAGCACCTCCCATTGCCATCCTAAATTACTTCCATTGACTCTTCAAGTCTCTTGAAATGTCACTTCCTATAGGAAACTTTCCGTGGTTCCCCCAGACAAGGGGAGAGCACCAGTTAGGTACTCCTATTCTACTTTGTAAAACATTTCCCTTTGGCAGTAACATTCATCACACTTGCAATTATTTATCCAATGATTGTCTCCCCTGCTAGAATATAAACTCCATGAAGGCAAGAGAAGCTTCTCTTTTCACTGACGTATCCACAGTTATTAGAACACAGTAGCTGCACAACTAATATTCGTTGTCAGAATGACAAGCTGGGGCCAGATTGTAGTAGGCAAAGTAAACAAAGGAGCAAAGAGAATTATTCCTTTACAAATATGTAAACTGAGGCAGTAAGAAGTGCAGTTATTTAAGGTCATAGAGATAGTAGAGATGGGGCCAAAGGTAACACAGCATTTAGCTCATTTTTCCACCCTAAAACAATAAAATGTGTGGGTGGGAGAGGGAGCATCTTAAAAGAAGAAAATTAGAAATGAGAAGATGGTGAGAGAGAGGTCTAGGATGACAGCTCTTGAATCTGCCTGTCACATCAGTTGCCTCCAGATGGACAACAGACTTTCCATGCCTAGAGAAGCACTATGGTAAACAAACAAACAAATACCACTACACCCTTCTCCTTAAGAGGCAGATATAAAATAGCAAATGTCTTTCAAACACAAAGGAGAAGAAACAACAGGAGGGAAAGATGTTGTCTCTTCAGGTGTCTCCAACAAAACAAATGGGCAGTTTGGCATCCTGGGATGGTCCTCTGCAATCAACAGAGACAAAAGGGGGGAAAACAGCCTTCCCACCACTTACTGGAGCAGGGATAAAAAAAACTAAACAGTAAATGAGGCGGAAACCATTTAAAGTCTACTTATTCTTGAGGAATCATGAGAACATTTCATGTAAAGCATTTTAAAACCTTGCTAACCCATTGGCGGTTCTTAAATCAGGTACCAATACTTTTGGCATGAACTCAACTGCAACATTTCATTGTCCACATGCTGCTGGGGCCAACTTATGTCTGTCACAGAAGCCACAAACCAGGTCAAGGGGTCAGGCTCGTTGTTGCTCATCCTGCCAAGTACCAACTGCAAGAAAAAGAAAAGACAAAGCCTCCTCAAAGAGGACTCTGTAGAATAAATATTCACACGGTCTACACACACCCTGGAGTTTCTGGGTGAAGTAGAGAAGGGGTGGGGAGGGTATTCAGAGATTGGAAAAAGACTTGGTAAAAGAGACGTGTATACTAGTGATGAGAGGGAGACACAGAGGAAAAATAAGAATTGCAAATGGAGAAAAAGGAAAAGAAAACCGTAAGAACTTAGGGGTATCGAGAGGTGGAGAAAGGAAGGTATGAGGGAAAAGAGTAAAGCGCCCAAAAGAGTAAGCAACAGAGAGACATAGAGAGAGACAAGGCCAGGCAGTCCATCTTTTCTCAAATCCAAAAGCTGCTCACTGCATTCCAATAAATCACTCTACTACAAAGCGCATACAATAGACTGTCCTTTGCATTCAGTAACAAGCAGCATTAAACGAAGTATAATCCAGCTGCAACTTTGGAGATCTAAGGGTCTGAATTAAAAATGAACAAAACTAGTTTAGCAGCAGAAGACAACCAGTAATGACTTTCCCTCAATGCCTGACTTGCCTTTAAAAAAGCTTTGGCATTTCAGAATTAAGCATAAAGTATCCTGGCATTTCTCCTTCTTTTGACATTCCAAGAGGGGGTGTGGTTGACCCCAGGTCCATTCATTTCCAAGGCTGTAGATCTCTCAGCTAAGACCAGCCCCATCTGCTCTCGAGTCAGCCAGCTGTTTATCTCAAAGTAACATATTTATTGCACTAATCATCCTAATAACTTGCAAGAAAAGAGCCAACATCATACAAGTCAGAATGCTTTCTGTCCTGTTAAATTTGTAAGTTTGTTTAAAAACAAAAAGAAAACAAACAAAAAACTCTACTAGGCGCCTTGGTTTCCCTGGTTAGGATCACTCTCCTCTATGGGTACCTTTCATTAATGGCAAATGAAAAGTAACAGTGCTTCTAACTTTCCCTTTCCCTAACGGGTTAAAATGAACCCAGGTTTCCTTAATGATCCCATCTCCAAAGCGTTATTTGTGACTGGTGACTGTGCCTCAGGAAACAGCAGCTCGTTATGGTACCACTGCCGATGGCAAGGAGCCTATTGCAATGTAATTTAAAACATTCACACAAGCACAAATCTGTCGGCTCCACTTCTGCAGTCGGGAGAACACTTAACGAAAATGCTGCTTCCAGCAGCATAACAGAAGCTTCCCCAGACACGTGAAATGTTTCTGACTGGCACGGAGTGCACCATTAAAGGACACTGTCACCTCAAATCGGCAGAAAAGGCGAGACAAACGACACAGACACACACGCACATAAAATAGAGCCCCACGAAACTTAACCTACTCAGAAGCACGCTCATCTTAAAAATGAATAGTGTGTGCTCGCCCAAGCGACATAGAAATGTTCTAAAGTAGTGCGACCACATTAAATCACTGTCTCCATTTCTCCCCACGCATCACCCCTTCCCACTCAAGCCTCAGCACTCGGGCCGTATGTGACAGGACTGCAGTCCCCCACCTCTGCTTTCTCCTGATTTTTCAAGAGCTCTTCCCAACATCCTCCCCAGCCCAGCCCCCTTTCTCAGCCTCAAAAAGGTTGAGGGGAGTTGCGACTAGAGAACTGGCAGGAATCAGTCCTCCGGCGGGGGAAGGTTGCTAGAGTTGTTCTTTGCAGTGACCCAAATTGCACAGAGCTTTTCGCTTAGCAGCGCTTGCCAGCACCTCCCCAATCCTCCCGCCCCCCCATCTTCCCAAAAGAAAGCCCTGAGAATTAAGCGGGAGGAATAACTTGGTAAAAATCATTTGAATAAATCACTTCAACTCACCTGGTTTGGGATTTTTCTCCCCACCCCAGGCATACACAGAAATGATGTGCGAATGAGTCGTCCGCGCAACGGAAGGTGTTGCGATGTCCTAAGTCCAAGGACTGGAGTGAGTCCTTGCCCTGGTGCTGCTGCTACTCTTAGCTCAGCTGGAGCGAGCGGCAATCGCAAGCCCAGCAGCAGCAGGGGGGTGGATAGACCGTAGCACAATGAATGCAGTGGGGTTTTTGCAATGACATCATCCCTGTCCAAAAGGCCCCAATAGCCATGCTCAGGAGCGCTGCATTTGGGGAATTGTAGTTTTCTTGAGGCTTGGCGGAACCCTGAGGCAATTGCCGGAACTACAGTGCCCAAAATGCGCCAAGGTCGGACGCGCCCAGGGCGAGCGAAAGGATCCTAAGAGGCTCGGCCGCCATGTTAGGAGTGTCGGGACGATTCCGCCGAGCCGGGCTGAGGTTTTAGGGAACGCGGGAGCCGAGTGGTGGTGCATTGGGACGGTGAGGTGGAGGACAAACCCTTCGGAGAGCCCAGGGTCTGAGCCTGGCAACCGGGCGGTGGAGGCGGCATCTGGGGATAGACGTAAGGCGGGTCTGGCTGGAGGCGATATCTAGAGGCCGAGTGGGTCTCGACCTCACGGTCCTGCAGGGGTTGCAGTGGCCCGCTACGCCTCTTTCCATTTTCTAAGTAAGGTATTCAGGGAGTCAGTTTACTTCTGGAGTCGACTCATCATTTAGACTCTCTAACTGGACAGTCGGGGCAGTTGGCATCTTCGTTGGGGTACCGGGGCTCCGGGCAGTGACCTGCTCTTCTCGCCTTTGGTCGGAGATGTTTCCACCCACGAAGTTGGGCTGTCCCTCCCAAATTTATTTTTAACTTCTTAATTTATTTTCCACCCTTCCTTACCCCTCCCCAAGGTTCCGAACCTCATTGGTTTTTCTTACAGAATGATTTGTAACAGAGTCCAAAGAAATCGATGTTGGAACGTAGCCAAACTTCAAAGGGACGGACGGTGTTTTGGCAGCGCAATTAAGCTAAGGAGACGTCTTCAGGAATAACACCTGGTTTAAAATGACTTCTTCATACCTACCAGCGAAAGCAGGGAGATGTCGAAGGGAAATATTTTTGACAATAGGCCTTTGATGGCTGGCGCTCGGTTCTAGAGTAGCAGGGATTCTTGGATAAACCTAAGAGTGTATGCTAAAATACAGCAGCGACGGGATGTTCATTAGTACGGATCACCAACTTATTTTAAAAATACATTTGTATTTTAATTTGTGGTACTTCAGATTTACGACTACTTTAAGAACTAACTTTTTTAACTGAGTACAACTGAAACCAAAATCACTGGTCTTTATTTTGCGTAGTATCTCAGATGGACTGTATTTTTTTTTTCCAATTGCGGTACTAAAACAGTGTTGTGTGTGCGTTATTTTGCAGAGTTTGTCCACACTGTGGAAAGATGGGAAATTTCTAAGCCTCAGTGATAATAGCCTCATAGGAGTATGGAACAGGATTAAACAAATACTCTGATAATCTGTGTAAAGCATTTAGCAGAGGGCTTTTGGAACAAGTAAGTTCGTTCGGGGCTTTTTTTTTCCCCCTTAAGGTTTTAAAAAGTAGCCTCAGAGTAGTTAGGACCCCAAGGACAGGGATTACGTCAGATGTACTCTTTCAACAATTTGTTTATGTCAAACTTACTAAGTTTTTAACCAAAATATAGTTCTATTTCTTCCTTTGATAAAGCGATGATACAGGGCAAAAAAGTTTTTCAAGCCTTTAACACCTAAGGAATATAAAATTCCCGAGTTATGTTACTAAGAGATTATGATAGAGTGGCTGAAATTTAAAAAATTAACAAGAATAGATTTTGCTTGTATGCCTGAGTAGCTTGAAAAAGCCCTGCAGTTGATTATGAAAATTCGGTCGTGTCTTAATTGAGGGTCATTGTAGTTAATTCTCTAAAAAAAAATGTTCTAAATTATGAAGTGTTAGAATTATGCTGTGCCTTACAAAGTTCTAAAGTAATGCTTTTTATATTCTAAAGTATGAAATTGCGAGAACAGCTGTTGTCTGCCTCTCTTCCAAAATATAATCAATTTTTTTACCTGTCTCATAAATGAAATGCCAGCAACCCAAAGGTGCTGTAGACCCAGCAGTTACATTAAAAATTCTAACCTGATCCAAGTTGAAAAGCAAACTTAAGAGGGAAAAAGAAAAACATTTTACTAAAAGTTATATTTTCAAGCCTCAGATTGAGTTACATGTTTTTCTACAGTGCACATTTCTATAAGTGGACACAGATGACCATGCCATACAGGGT